GATCTTTAATCCATTTTGAGTTTATTTCTGTGTATGGTGTTAGAAGGTGTTCTAGTTTCACCAGACCACCTGACTTACCTCCTGAGAAACCTGTATGCAGGTCAAGAAGCTACAGTTAGAACTGGACATGGAACAACAGACTGGCTCCAAATCAGGGAAGGAGTATGTCAAAGCTGCATGTTGTCTCCCTGCTTATTTAAGTTATATGCAGAGAGTATATCATGAAAATTTTGGACTGGATGAAGAACAAGCTGGAATCAAGATTGCTGGGAGAAATATCAATAACCTCAGTTATGCAGATGACACCAGCCTTATGGCAGAAAGTGAAGAACTCGAGTCTCTTGATGAATGTGAGAGGAGAGTGAAAAATTCGGCTTAAAACTCAACATTCAGAAAACTAAGATCATGGCAACAGGTCCCATCACTTCATGGGAAATAGATGAGGAAACAGTGGAAACAGTGACAGAATGGGATTCTCCAGGTAAGAACACTGGAGTGGGTTGCCATTCCCTTCTCCAGGGGATCTTCCCAACCCAGGGACTAAACTCAGTTCTCCTTGCATTGCAGGAAGATTCTTTACCATCAGAGCTACCAGGGAAGTCCTTATGTGACTACAGTAAAGTGATATAAAGTAGACTTTGAGAAATAGAAGTAATGTAAAATTCATCCATCTATCTGGAAAACATAACTTGACAAAAGCTTCAAAAAATTCAAGGTCTGAAATTTTAATGTCTATTTTAGTGTAAGTAATAAAGCCAGTAGGCAAAGTCCAGTAAAGCTATTGAACATATGAGGAATACTATCAGCCAAATTGACTCACTTGTTGTGATATCTGTAGACATTGGGTTTCCTGGGTGGCTCAAATGTAACGACTCTGCATGCAATGCAAGAGACACAAGACGTGGGTTCGATCCCTGGGTCAGAAGATCCCTTGGAGGAGGGCATGGCAACCCATTTTAATATTCTTGCTGGCAAAATTCCAAGGACAGAGGAGCCTGGTGGGCAAAAGTTCATTGGGTCGCAAAGAGTCAGACACAACTGAAGTGATTGAGCATGCACATACCTTATGACGCTACATATAATGAGAGGTGCAGAAATCAATGAATCGAATATACAGCTGTAAAAATATTACAAGCCAAATTTATTTTTTTCTGCACAAAAATAAAGTTGATGTATCCCTATATATTATAGTCAAGGAAAAATAGGGCAAAACACTTATTACTACTATCAGAAATGGAATAGGAATGAACACTACAGATCTATGAAACTCAGAGATTATAACAAAAAACTCACAAAAAAAATGTTCAATAACTTAATTGAAAAAGATACATTTCTTTAAAAATACATTAAGCAAGCTTAATTCAAGAACACATGAAATAATAGCCATATAATACATGAATAGCCATATATTTGTTAAAGAAAGAAATTTTTTATTTAAAGAAAAAAACTTTTATGGCACAGATATTTTGAGTGATATGATGAATGCTAATAGAAAATTTAGGGGAAACATAGGTAAGCTTTTCTTCAAACTATTTCATAAATCAGAGGAGAGAACACTCTCCAAACCATTGGAGACTGATGTCAGTATAAGTCTGATACTAAAATTTGATATACACATTACAAAAAGTAAAATTGAGACCCTATCCCTGAGAATAAAATCCTCAAGAAAATTTCATTAAATAAAACCTAACACTACATAATGGTATCTGGTTCCATCACTTCATGGGAAATAGATGGGGAAACAGTGGAAACAGTGTCAGACTTTATTTTGGGGGCTCCAAAATCACTGCAGATGGTGATTGCAGCCATGAAATTAAAAGGCACTTACTCCTTGGAAGGAAAGTTATGACCAACCTAGATAGCATATTAAAAAGTAGAGACATTACTATGCCAACAAAGGTCTGTCTAGTCAAGGCTATGGTTTTTCCAGTGGTCATGTATGGATGTGAGAAGAAAGCTGAAGAAAGCTGTGAAGAAAGCTGAGAGTTGAGAAATTGATGCTTTTGAACTGTGGTGTTGGAGAAGACTCTTGAGAGTCCCTTGGACTGCAGGGAGATCCAACCAGTCCATTCTAAAGATCAGTCCTGGGTGTTCACTGGAAGGACTGATGCTGAAGCTGAAACTCCAGTACTTTGGCCACCTCATGGGAATAGTTGACTCACTGGAAAAGACCTGATGCTCGGAGGGATTGGGGGCGGAAGGAGAAGGGGACGACAGAGGATGAGATGGCTGGATGGCATCACCGACTCGATGGACATGAATTTGAGTCAACTCCGGGAGTTGGTGATGGACAGGGAGGCCTGGCGTGCTGCGGTTTATGGGGTCACAAAGAGTCGGACATGACTGAAAGACTGAACTGAACTAACAGTACATAAAATTGAATTTCATCCTAATAACAAAAGGTTAAACATTTGAAAATTAAGCAATGTATTTTGGTATTTTCACAAAAAAGAGAGCTAGGAACATATTTCAATCTTAGTGGAAGACACAAAAGTCAACATATTCATGATAAAAACTCAACATTAATTAGATATTCATTATAAAATGACTGAAAACATTAGAACAGCACAGAACCTCTTCAAAACATGTATTAAAATATCAGATAACATAATAAGGGCAAGATACTTTATAATATGCTCATGAATTGGAAAACTTAGTACTGTTAAGATATAAATTTTCTATAAATCTATATGGTCTATACAATAACAAGATTATTTTTTGAAGAAATTGATAAATTGGTACCAAAATTCATATGAAAAGATTCATTTGTTCATAGGTAAATGAACTTGAAAAGAGCAAGACTGAAAGATTTACGCAATCTGATTTCAAGAGTATAAAGCTACAGATATCAGAACAGTGAAATAATGGCAAAAGGAAATAGGCATCAGTGAAACAGAATAGTGCTCCTTGAAATAGTCACAGGCCTATGACAAACCGATTTTCCAAAAAGCTGCTAAGGAAATTTAGAGGAGAAAGGATAGTCTTTTTATAAAACAAGTGATGAAAACATCAGACGTACATAATGATAATTAAAGAACTTCATTCCCAACCTCATAACATACTCAAAATATCAACTCTGCTGAATTCCTTTACTGAGTGAAGGAATAGTGCTCAGTGTTAAGAAGGAACAATCTACTCATGTGTACAATGAGAATAAATCTCACCCTCATTACGCTGATTGAAAAGAGACAGATACAAAAGGGTACACACTGTATGGATCCATTTATATGAATTTAAAACTGCCAAAACTGATCTGTAGTGACAGCAATCAGATTAATAGTTACCAAGGCCAGAAGGCTGAGTAAGATTGTCTGCAGTGAGGCATGAGGCAGCTTTCTGTTTTTATCTTGGTTAAGGTAGCCTTTATGCCAGGGTTTACATTTGTCAAACTTTCCAGCAAAATATGTGTAATTTATCATATGTATGCAGGCAATGCATGCTAAGTAGCTTCAGTCGTTTCTGACTCTTTGAGACCCAGTGGACTGTAGCCTCTCAGGCACCTCTGTCCATGGGATTCTCCAGGCAAGAATACTGGAGTGGGCTGCCTGGAGAATTCCATGATGTCGAAGATGTAGGAGAATCTACATCTTCCCAACCCACAGATCAAATCCTTGTCTCTTAGGTCTCCAGATTGGCAGGCAAATTCTTTACTACTAGCACCACCTGGGAAGGCCTATCATATGTATATTTATTTCAATAAAAGTGATTATAAGAAAAAGTGAAAATTTGGCTTGAATGTAAAAAATGTTTTATAACTTTATTAATCTGACTTATTTTAAAATATTGTTATAGTGTAGCCATACATGCTAAATTTTCCCTGTACGTTCTAGTCATTAGATTCCTCCTTTGTAATTAAATCTAAATGCCTACAATATTTTCCCCTGTACCTTTTTTTTTTTTTTTTTGAAGAGCAACGATCTAATGTAATGTTTTTCATTTTCTTCAAGCTAAGTAGTAGAAAACTTGAAGAAGTTTTCCCCAGTCTGTACAAAGTTGTTGCAACACCTCCTCTCTGGCCCTAGAAACAAGAAGCCAGAGACCCGTGAACAGTTAAGCAGATAATATCAGTAAAAACACTGAAAAGAGAGAAATTTTCCTTCTCTGTTGTTTCCTGTGACAAAACATAAAAAGAGAGACTATTTTGGGTCAAATAGCTTCAAGTGCTTCAAGAGCTGACATGAAAATGTAGCTATAGAAGGCAAAACCATGGTAAGATCCCACTCACAATCTGGAAGAAATTTCTAGCAAAAATGTTAAAAATATATACAGTTGCCACTCTATGATCTTTGCATTACCAAAAATGTACAATTATTTAGACGTTGCTTTAAAGAAAATCCATCTAACAGAATAAGAAAGGCAATGGACGTCAAATTAAAACAATATTGAACTCAAACAGTGGTTCAGCGACCACCGGTCATCTTGGAGAAGTTATTTACTTCTCTGAGCCTCATCCTCTCATATATAAAATCAGATAATATTATCCTGGATTATTTATAACACATGTGAATCATTTGGTCTTTGTTATTATACCTTATAACAATGTATAGGTGGAGATTTTGACATTAGTAAGAAACCAATAAAAATACATAACAGCGTTAAAATATAATTGTTTTTCCACATCATAGTAATGATTTTATCTCTGTGTTAGAGTTCACTATAGAAATAGAGCAGATAGGACATATGTATATCTGAGTGTGTGTATTTATAGAGACAGACACACAGGTGACAGACGAGAGAGAGCGGAAGACAGAGAGCAAGGGGGCTAGGGACAGAGGGACAGACGCCGAGGAGGACAGACGCCGAGGAAGACAGACGATGGGGAAATCACGGGCTACGGAGCCCCGAGAGAGAGGCGGGAGCTCTACCCTGTGAACGCAATGACCACGTCACTGCCCGCTAAGCTTGGAATGCGACAATCAGACATCACAAAGAAACTGTCATGAGAGCAATGGTTGCCAAGTGTTTCACTAATTAAAGCTGTTGGCCGCCTGCAGATGAAGGAGAGGACAGCACGCAATGGCCTTCCTCCTGAGCTTCGGTTATTACAAAATTTGATGAAGATGTACTGTGTTCTTGAATTAAGGCTACAGAGTAAGCTATACATATATACCTTTTGGCTCTGTGTTATTTCTAAAAGATTTTTAAATTGTTTTAAAGTTCAAATTGAAGAATAAATATATACTTAAATGTACAATTAGAGAAATGCAGATTAACTTTATTCGTTGAATGCAGGCATTGTACTATGTGAATAAGATATAGTTTCTGACCTGGAAGAGTTCACAGTATGGGCATGATGAAATATACATGTAATATCAGTCATTGAACTATTCTTTCCCATTTTTCATTGAGTTTGCTACTCCATTTATTCATAATTATCCATTATTTCTTAAGGAAAAGTAACATTTTGATAGGGGATCCTAAAAAGTACAACAGGGGCAATATTCAGATTAGATTTGTTCATATTTTATTTCCAGTATTGGCTCTTGAAGAGAGTGATACCCGAGTGAATCAGTGCTTTAACAAGAATGCACAGAGAAGAGACTTTATAATGCTGCTCCAGACTCCCTGAGAAATAAACGTGCTTCTTCTGGGCTGAACGATAAGGGAGGAAATGGAACACACCTAAAGAGGACATGAACGGGAGAGGCTGGAGATAGAATCCCGAGGGAAAAGAGACGACCACGCAGTCTGGGGCAGAGTCAAGAGACGTGGCAGGAGTTGAGCTAACCCGTTCAGCACTGACTTGAGTACCAGGTTTGTAGATGAACTGAGTCAATCCTTATTCTATAGGATGAACAAAAAGCAAATGTGAAAGCAATGTTTAGTCAAACTCCTTCATTCAATCTTTCCAACCAAACTCCCAGAAAAAAAGCAAACTACTGCAGAATGCTCTAACACTCACAGAGCCAATAGAGGTTAAGAGTGTGTGCATAATTCAATATGTGTACTTGGGTGAGAGTGGATAGTTGATAAAACATACCTCATTATAACTGTAATTGCACAAGATAGCTATTTGTTTTAAAAAAAAAAAGTTATGGGACCAAAGACTGTGAATGCAGGTATTAGAAAGTGGAAAAAAAAAAGCTTAGAAAAATAGAAAATGTGCATTAGAGAAGTTGAAACACCAGGAGATCTGGAAAAACAAGCAGTATTTGTTGGGAAAAGAGTGAGCAAGGGATCAAAGGAGGCAGAACACTCTGAAAGAAGAACATGGAAAAGCGAACCCCTCTTTCTTTCAACTGTGGCTGCACTGGTCTTGCTTGCTGAGTGGAGGCTTTCTCTAGTTGCAGCGAGGGCGGCCACTCTCTAGTGGCACCTGGACTTCTCATTGCAGCGGCTTCTCTTGCTGTGGAGCCCAGGCCGTGGAGCACGTGGGCTTCAGGAGTTGCTGCGAGTGAGCTCCGCAGTCTGGGCACACAGGCCTAGATGCCCCACAGCGCGGGGGTGTCCAGGAGTCTCCGGTGGAGGTGTGGGCCAGCAGGTGCCCGTTGCAGGCTCAGGGGCACTGAACACAACATTGCCTGTGCAAGTCCTTTTGAAGGAGGTCTCCATTATAGGCATTACCCTGGCCATAGTTTGGCCTAAGGCCAAACAACAGGGAGAGAACACAGCCTTGCCCATCAACAGAAAATTGGATTAAAGATTTACTTTAATTCTGAGCATGGTCCCGCCCATTAGAACAAGACCCAGTTTCCCCCATAGTCAGTCTCTCTCATCAGGAAGCTTCTGTAAGCCTCTTATCCTTATCAATCAGAGGGCAGACAGAATGAAAACCAAATCACAGAAAACTAACCAAACTGATCACATGAATCACAGCCTTGTCTAACTCAATGCAACTCTGAGTCATGCCTTGTAGGGCCACCCAAGAAAGTCGGGTCATGGTGGACAGCTCTGAGAAAACTTGGTCCACTGGAGAAGGGAATGGCAAACCACTTCAGTATTCTTGCCTTGAGAGCCCCATGAACAGTATGAAAAGGCAAAAAGATAGGACACCGAAAGATGAACTCCCAAGATCAGTAGGTGTCCAATAAGCTACTGGAGAAGACTGGAAAAATAACTCCAGAGAGAATGAAGAGATGGAGCCAAAGTGAAAATAACACCCAGTTGTGGATGTGACTGGTGATGGAAGTAAAGTCTGATGCTGTAAAAAAACAATATTGCATAGGAACCTGGAATATTAGTCCATGAATCAAGGTGAATTAGAAGTGGTCAAACAGGAGATGGAAAGAGTGAACATTGACATTTTAGGAATCAGCAAACTAAAATGGACTGGAATGGGTGAATTTAACTCAGATGACCATTATATCTACTACTGTGGGCAGAAATTGCTTAGAAGAAATGGAGTAGCCATCATAGTCAACAAAAGAACCTGAAATGCAGTACTTGGATGCAATCTCATAAATGACAGAAAGATCTCTGTTCATTTCCAAGGCAAATCTTTCAATATCACAGTAATGCAAGTCTATGCCCCTACCAATAATCCTGAAGAAGCTGAAGTTTAACAGTTCTATGAAGACCTACAAGACCTTCTAGAACTAACACCTAAAAAAGATGTCCTTTTCATCAGAGGGGGCTGGAATGCAAAAGCAGGAAGTCAAGAGATAGCTGGAGTAACAGGCAAGTTTGCTCTTGGAGTACAGAATGAAGCAGGGTAAAGGTTAATCAAGTTTTGCCAAGAGAACCCACTGGTCATAGCAAACACCCTCTTCCAGCAACACAAGAGATGACTCNGGGAGTTGGTGATGGACAGAAAAGCCTGGCGTGCTGCGATACATGGGGTCACAAAGAGTGGGCATGACTGAGCGACTGAACTGATACTGAACTGATGTGGAATCTTCCAGGCCAGGGATTGAACCTGTGTCCCCTCTCCAGCAGGCAGACTCCTAACCACTGGACCACCAGGGAAGCCCAGAAAGGTGAATTTTACGTTCAGAGAAGAGTGAACTTCAAGGCTTGATGCGTTTGTGGTTATTATGGAAACATTTATGGTGCTTCTGTTCCATCACCCCGAGTTGTTTAATGCTGTAGAATATTTTATTAAAGCAGAATAGCTGGACAAATTTTACATGGGTAAAGAGAAAGAAACATTGGGAAATGTTATGAGAGAAAAGCAGTTTTTTAGTATTCCTTACCACATTGAAGATGAGTGAAGAGAATCCTCGTGGAAAGAGATGTTAAGCTGGCATTATTGTTTTTAAGGATGTATAGTTCATTTGTAACCAGTCACAGACAAAAATAAAATAAGATGGAAATTTTGACCAAACTGCCAATCACCAATTTTAAGCATCAATATTTAAAGACAGTGTTGTTAAGACTCAAATGAAGTTCACAAGGTAAAATATATCAAAGGCCATAATCCAGTGGCACATGCATGTCATACTGTCATGTGTGTGTGTGTAACTCCGTCCCTCACATATATGTATCTATGTGTAACTTTCTCTGTATATATCTATGAAATAGACATGAATGAGCTCACACTATATAAAGTACTTATGATTTTTTTTCAATAAAGTAAATAAATAACACATCCCTCTCCTCAACATAATCAAACAGTACAGAGTATGTAGCACAAAAGTTAATCTGCTTCCATCACATTATTTCATTAGCTCCATTAAGTATTTAGTAAGGTTCTGCTATGCGTTACACAAAATTAAAAGTTGAAAAAAAAATAATTTCTGTCCTCAAGAATGTCATGTCTCTCTTGAGAAAAGAAAACAGAATAAGGGGACTATATTTTAGATGGTATTATTAGGAAAGAACAATGCATGAGAGAAAAAGGAAATAGTTATTTGATGGAGCTATTAAAAGTATATACAATTTGATAAGTGAAATTCAATTACTGGAACAAACTGCAATCAGATGATTATTATTTTAAATAATAAGGGTATATTGGTATTACATATCAGCTTGCATTAATCTACTTGGGCTGCTATACCAAAATACCGTAGACTGGGTGTCTTAAACAATAGACATTTACTTCTCACAGTTCTGGAATCTAAGGTCAACATCTAGAAGTCCACGATCAAGCTGTCCTCAGATGGTACCCGCTAAAGCCTCTCTTTCTGCAGCAGAGAGCCAACTTTTCTCTGTGTCCTCAATGGAAGAGAGAGAGAACAACCTCCCTTTATTCTTATAAAGCCGCTCACACCATCACAAGGGCTCCACCCTCATACCCTCACTTGATTTTAATTACCTCCCAAAGGCCCCATCTCTAAGTATGGTTACACTGGGAGTTAGGGTTTCAATATACGAATTTTCTGAGGGACATTGATTCAGTCCACAGAACTGCTCTCAATAATAAAATATGAAATGGAGTATGTATATGCCTTTTTTCAGAAAATGAAGAAATGGGGACTACATCATTTCTTGCAACAAGTCTGTACTATATAATGTTCTTGTGAGGATTAAATCAAATCAGATAAAAAGTCTAAAGCTCTTAACAGAAGCTGAGCTGTCAAAAATGGTTTGACCTTTATATTATTGACTGTCAAGCAGTGAGCCAAAGTATTTTTGATACATTACCTAGATTTTTTTCAAAATAACTGCAAAGTGAGGGTAATCCTCCTTTCACAGTGAAGACACTGAAGCCCAAGACAAGTAAATACCTCTCCAAAATAATGCAGTTTTTCAGAGCTAGAGTTAAGATTAGCAACATTGTCTGTCTGATTCCAAAGCCCAGTTTTATATATGAAGCCAAGATAGCTCTTCTTTCTGTAGATATTAGGGATTTATATTTGTAGTCATAAATCATAAAAATTTTTACAATTTTTAAAGTGATTGGAAAGGGGGGATATAATGAAATACAGCACAAAATGTACCACTTTCAAACAGTGTGATTCATCGTATATAACAATTTGTTGGTGATTCTCAAGATTACCATGTGTCTTCAGCAATACATGAATTGTGAACTTCCAGATGTTCAAGCTGGCTTTAGGAAAGCCAGAGGAACCAGAGATCAAACTGCCAATATCTGCTGGATCATCAAGAAAGCAAGAGAGTTCCAGAAAAACATACATTTCTGCTTTAATGACTACACAAAAAGCTTTGACTGTGTGGATCACAATAACCTGTGGAAAATTCTGAAAGAGATGGGAATACCAGACTACCTGACCTGCCTCTTGAGAAATCTGTATGCAGGTCAGGAAGCAACAGTTAGAACTGGACATGGAACAACAGACTGGTTCCAAATAGGNTACTTTTTTTGTATGATTTCATTTATGCAAAATTCTAGAAAAAGCAAACTAACCCATAGTGACAGAAAGCTCTGAGTTGACTAGGATTTGATGGGTGGTAGACAGAGGATGAGATGGTTGGATGGCACCACTGACTCGATGGACATGAGTTTGAGTAAACTCCAGGAGTTGGTGATGGACAGGGAGGCCTGGTGTGCTGCAGTTCATGGGGTTGCAAAGAGTTGGACACGACTGAGCGACTGAGCTGAACTGAACTGAATATTAAGATATGGGAATAGAAACATGAATTCTAAGATTCTGAAAGTAAGTAGTGTCTGCAGGTTATACAATACTATTTGCTATTAGAAAAACAAATCAACAGAGTTAATGACCTAGAAAAGTGACTCACTTGCCTAAATATGACAGGCCTAACAAAAACGTATATGGGTGCTGTAGTTTAGGATCAAATACAGTGGAAAAGTTGGTACAAGTTCATGAGATTGAAGGCAGCTGAATAGGTGATAATTAAGGAAATAAATCTATTAAGAATACTCATACCTACCAAGTTTTATTATTCCCTGTGTATTAAGGTAAATTATAAGACAAATGATATATTCTGGATAAATTAGTTCTTATGGAAATTTTCCCAAGAGTCTAAGAATGAAGAGTTTTTATTTTTTCTATAGAAGGTAATACTGTGGTTGAGAAATCAGACTTTGTAGTCAAACATCATACTAGTTTTATAGTACTGTTAGGATTTCTTAGTCACTCTTTGTTTTAGTTTGTTTTTAATAAAATGAGAATAATAATAGCACCCACCTCTTAGGTCTGTTTTATTGCTTAAACAAGATAAAAAAATGTAATATGCAGAGAGCTGAGCTTTGTACATATTTACTACTATAGGAAACACAGCTTTTATTATGTATGCTTCTTGGTCTGCTTCATTGTGGATCAAGGGCTTCCTTGATCCCTTCAACAAGTATTTGAAAAACACATTGCATTACAGTTGAGAGACTTCTTTAAATCCATTCTTATTCTGTCACACAGCTAAGCTCCTAGATGGTCGAAGACTCATCAAGCAAGATGCTTTATCATCCTAGGAGTACCAGTCCTCTTTGAGATTCTAATGAAAGCTTCATCTGTTGAGTTTGCCAGGAGCAGAAGTGGTCAGTTAGAACAATGAGCTAAACAGAAAGTAGCAATCGTGCTTTTGTTCATTTATTGTGACAGTAAAAGTAAGAGGCAGAAAATAAAGGCACCAACTCCCAACTGTTTCATTTCCCCCCCACTGAATAGTAATGGGAGAGGGTCAGGTGACTTGCAGCAGAAACTGGAGTCATCTTCTCACTGAACAAAGATGCCTGCAAAGCGTCCTTATGGACCTAAAGAGCCAGATGAGGGACAGAGGAGAGGGCTAGTATTAGAAAAGCAGGGTCTAGTAGAGAAAAGTGTCTTAGCCAAGGCTGTTTAGTAAAATGGCCTCAGGATAAAGATGCCTGGGCTAGAAATGCTAATATACTTATGAGCTTGGCTGGTCTTGGCAGCCTTGAGAAATGGAAACTCCTTCCAGGGCCTGTAATATCCTGGCTATGTGCCCAGGTTAGTGTGTGAACAGTCACTTTCCCCCATGAGGCCTGCAATGCAATGCCACATAATTGCTTAAGGTCAGGCCTGAAAGATCACACATTGGGTTTTGGCCAGGAGCAAGACTCAATATCTACAAACCTTTTGCATATACCTCGTTTGGTTGCATTATATTTACTGTAAGTAAACAATATATCAGAACTTTTACAATGAATTATACCTTTTCACCCATGAAAAATTTAATGATCACTTTATGAAGAAAGCCCAACCCCTCCTCCAAAAAAAAAAGGAAAAATTTTCCTTCTGAACAAAAATATATTTGAACAAGAAAGATGAAGTTTAATGTATGTAAAACATCAACATTTTGCCATGGTCATTTTGATGTTAGTATCTATGTCATCCTTGGCAAAAAATGAAAGTAGATTTTCTTTTCAATGCTGAAAAGAAAATACATACATACATAGCTCTATATACATAGAGCTATGCAATAGAAATAATAAATAATAAAATCGATGTTTTCTGAGTACTTACTATGTACCTGTACTGCTTATATTTTTTTCTTCTGTGTAATGAGTACTCAATAAGGTAGAATCAGAAAGTAACTTTATTTTTTCCCACTCTGCCTCATATACTGGGGTGGCCAAAAAGTTCATTCAGGTTTTTCTGAACCATCTTATGAAAAATCCAAACGAACTTTTTGGCCAGTCCAATTATCTTCAGATCTACACAGTGCACTAATTTATGACATTTGACTGTAAAGGTGATCATGAATTTTTACTCTGAGGTAATAAAAGAAATAGCCAGGCCAGCTTAATCATCTCAACACTCAACTTCATTTAACATGAAAGCTTGTCCCTTCTGCCAGTTTGAGATTCCTCTGGGCCGGGAAGCTGACAGTGGGGAAGGGGACCATGGCTGAGATCTCAGTTAGTCATCTTCAGCTCCTTCACCCTTCCAAAACAGTGTCTTATACATCTAGGATTGGAATTGAGGATATAGAGAAGGGCTAAATGAAAGAAAAAGTCTTAATTAATCAGCACAAGATGGCCTGTCTCAGACTTCCTCTAGGTATGCAGAGTCTCAATGTTGACATGTCTTTTTTTCAATTGGAGGTTTTCATGGTTTCCTGAAAGGGAGCCTCCCTCGGTGCCTGTACTTGTCGAGGAGCTCCCTGGACAGGTCAACGCCTCTTCTCCGACTGGCCGTTTAACCCTCTCCCGCTTCCCTCCCAAAATGTAGAATGACCTAAAACCAGCAACTTACTGCTGAGGGCCCTTACGCAAGGCCAAGGCGTGCTTGTGGTTGCAGTTGATTTCAAAAGGCCTCGGTGTGACTCGCGTTACAGGAAAGGCACCTTTCGTCAATGGAAAGCAGCATAACCAGCTCCCAGAAGAGCCATTCCTTTTCACTCTCTCAACGTCTGCAGCTCTTAGCCTTTGTATTTCTTAGCCACGATGCAAACTCAGCATATGTTATAGGACACATAACAGCTAATGAAGTGATTGTGAGAATTCTAAGTTTGTACTGACAACACAGATGAGGCTCCACTGTTTTCTAACCATGGTGACAAAACGCTTATTTAAAAATGTGTAATCCTTCCCAAGGGCTTCCCTTGTGGCTCAGCTGGTAAAGATTTCGCCTGCAATGTGGGAGTCCTGGGCTCTATCCCTGGGTTGGGAAGATCCCCTGGAGAAAAGAAAGGCTGCCCACTCCAGTATTCTGGCCTGGAGAATTCCACAGACTGTACAGCCCAAGGTCGCAAAGGTCAGGCACGACAGAGAGACTTTCACTTTCAGTCCTTCCCAAGATGATTCAAAATGAGTTTTAATTGTATTACTTCTTATTTTTATCTTCAAATAAATAAATAAGTCATTTTTTGTAAGATCTGTGTCATTCTGTAAGGAAGAAAAATGAAAAATCTAAGCTACTTTGGGCAGAATTAAACTTTAAAGGAATTTTGCAGGTTTGAGCTTACCTTCAGCCTACATGAGGGCTTTCCTTGTAGCTTAGTTGGTAAAGAATATGCCTGCAATGCAGGAGACTCAGGTTCAATTCCTCGGTCAGGAAGATCCCCTGGAGAAGGAAATGGCAACCTACTCCAGTATCTTTGCCTGGAGAATCCCATGAACAGAGGAGCGTGGCAGGCCACAGCCCATGGGGTCGTGAGAGCCGGACACGACTTAGTGACTAAACGACGATGACCTGCCTACATAAGTTACAAGGCAGAGTGACTCTCATCTATAGCTTGTAGCCGTATTCCTTTCAGGGCCTGTCTCCAAACACTTATCTTCTGAGAAAGGTACCTTCTGAGCAAAAAATCAGAGTATTTCAGTAGCATACATGGGATTGCTTGTAGAGGTATATACGTACAGACGTGTGTGTGCACCTGCTAAGTAGCTTCAGTTACATCCGACTCTGTGTGTTCATTATTAATATGGTTAAAATTGTTTGCCTAAAGCTTCCCTTATCATTCCCATCAATTCATTCTGAGTGCTGGCTTTCCTTCTTTTCCTGTTAGAAAAAAAAATAGGAAACTTTGAAATTCAACTTGGTTCTGTTTTTTGCAATTAATCCCTAGGAATATTGTTGTGTAAAAGCAGCTTTATTGCCTACCTCTATTCCATGGTAAGGAGGAACTTTCAAAAAAAAAAAAGATTCTAACTCTGGTTCTGATTTAATTAACATCCATGATGGCAGTAGATCAGATAACTTATAAACCTATTGGAGAGACTTCAATCAATATTTATTGATGTATATTATACATTCAGTCTTGCTGAATACTAGATCTCCAGATTAGATATCCTGCCAAACATTACAGATGGTCCATTTGAATACAAAGTCCACTGCTTTTCTTCCCAGGCTAGGTTTAGTTCTATGAGCTAATTAGTGATGTTTTTAAAAAGTTAGAGGTTTTAAACAACAAACATTTCTTAATTTCAAGTTTCTGTGAATCAGAAGTAAAGGAGCAGCTTAGCCGCATTGTTCTTTCTTGGGATCTGTCAGTAGGTCACAGCTGAGATGTCAACTAGAGCTAGCATCATCTGAAGGCTTGACTGGGGTTGGAGCATGTGCTGCCAAGATATCACTCAGGTAACTATTGGCATAAGGTCTCAGTTAAACTCTGGCTATTGGCAAGAGGTCTTCATTTAGGAGGACAAGATGAAAGCAACAGTGTTTTTTATGACCTGATTTTAGAAGTCAAACTCCATCATTTATACAATATCCTAGTGATATTAGGGCTTCCCAGGTGGTACCAGTGGTAAAGAACCCTCCCACCAATGCAGGAGACATAAGAGATGTGGATTCGATCCCTGGGTCAGAAAGATCCCCTGGAGGAGGGCATGGCAGTCCATGCCAGGATTCTTGCCTGGAGAATCCCATGGACAGAAAAGTCTGGCAGGCTACGGTCCATAGTGTTTAACAGAGTCAGACAGGACAGAAGCGACTCGGCACGCATGCACGCTGGTGATATTAACATAGGTCCGCCCTATTTAATGTGAAGAGGGTCACTCACAGAGATTGAAACCACTAGACAAGGAAGACTGAAGGCCATGTGGAAACCTGACACTACAGTCTGCCCTCAGACCCCCAAAGGAGGCTCATGTTCTTCCCCACATGTAAGATTAACTTACATTCTCTTGCAGAGCACAGAAGTGCCATCCCGTTACAGAGTCAAAGTGTAAGATTTCCTCAGGTTTAGATGCAAATATAGCTCATCAGGTTTTGTTAAGTGTAGCTCCCAGATACATTTCTTTCAATCTGAAAATCTATGAACAGAAGAGACAAGCCGTCTCTCTCCCTCAAAACTACAATGATGGAGAGCTCACAGCTATAGAGTATTTAGGGGACACATTGTCAAGGGCATACTGGGATAAGCCCAAATGAAAAGACAGATTATTGCATTTTATGTCTCCTACCACAAAGAAGGAAGCTCAATTCCCAGTGAGCCTCTGGGAATTCTGGAGATGGTATACTATGTACATCTAGGAAAAATTGTTGTGACCCATACAGTGATGTTACCAAGGGCTAACTGTTGTGTGTGAAGCCTAGAACAGAAATTTGCTCTGTAGCAAGTCCAGACTATAATGTAAGCAATGTAAGCAACTCTGTCCCTTGAACCACTAAATCTGGAAGATGATTCGGTTTTGATGCTATCAAAAGTGAGAAAAGATACTATATAAATGATGAGACAAGATCCATGGGAGCATCATAACCTAGAATAATTGGGTTCTGAAGCAGGTCCATTACATCTGCTGCAGGAAGCTCAGCGCTTTGAAAAAACAACTCCCAACATGCTAATGGTTTCTGTGAGAGAGAGCACAGCTGACCATGGGACATCAAGTGACTGTATACCCAAAATCCTTCATCATGAAATGAATCTTATCAGCCTACAAAATCATAAGGTCAGACACACTTGGAGCTTCCCTGTAGCTCCAAGGGTAAAGAACCTGCCTGCAGTGAGGGAGACCTGGGCTTGATCCCTGGGTCAGCAAGGTCCTCTGGAGAAGAGAATGGCAATCCATTCCAGTATTCTTGCCTGGAGAATCCCATGGACAGAGGAGTCTGGCAAGATACAAATCAAAAGTGAGAAAAGATACTATATAAATGATGAGACAAGATCCATGGGAGCATCATAACCTAGAATAATTGGGTTCTGAAGCAGGTCCATTACATCTGCTGCAGGAAGCTCAGCGCTTTGAAAAAACAACTCCCAACATGCTAATGGTTTCTGTGAGAGAGAGCACAGCTGACCATGGGACATCAAGTGACTATATACCCAAAATCCTTCATCATGAAATGAATCTTATCAGCCTACACAA